GGTGCACCCGCTCCGGCGCACCGCGTCCTCGGGCAGCACGTGGAGCCGGGGCTCGCCGCTGGCTGCAGCCGGGGCGGAGCACGGCCTCGGCGCCGAGGGGGGCAAGGAGTCCCCGGGCTCCCCCACGTGCCGCTGCAAGGAGCAGGAGCGAGAGGAGGACACCGTGCTTCTGCACTGCAAGGAGCTGGCCGGCGACGAGAAGCTGCACCGGGCCATAAAGCTCATGGGTAAGCGCGCGCCGCCGGGGCGGGGCCGGGGCCAGGGCCAGGGCCTGCCAGCCGGAGGTGTCGTTCCCCTCCCCTCCCCCACCCGTGAACATCCACCCAGCCCCGGGCTGCTGCTCTGGAGGAGCTGGGAGACCCGGACAACCATCCCCACGTCCGGCCCCACCTGCGCGCTCTCTGGCTTGGAACTAGTAGCATTTTGGTCTACGCAGTTATAATTCAAACGGTTTGCGCTACAAGAATAAATTCTTCCCCCTCCGCTCTGCCGACACCTTTCACACGCCCCCGTCGCGTGTGCGCATCTTTGAGATGGAATTCCAGGGGAGGGAACGGCTTTCGGGCTCACGGGACTGGCGGCCGCCCAGGGGCGGGGAGACGCTGGTCTCGGGACTTCTGGCCCCGGCCGGCGGGGACCGCCCCTCTACTATATATTGAGAAACATGGGTCCCACACTCACCCATTCAGCAGCTTCTGCGTGAGCACCACGGGCCAGACTGGGCTTGGGCGGGGGGGCAATTGTGAGGGAAGAAGAGGAGCCTGAAAAATATATAAACAATTAAGCAACCCTAGAGAGGGTACCGGGAGGGAGGGGGGCTGGTGGACTTGGCAGGGGAAAGCTCCCTGGAGCTAAACTTTGAAAGAAAAGTAGCAGATGGGGGCGGGGGTAGCTTCCTCTGTATTTTCATTTTTGTTACAAGAAGAACGTATTTGTTACTTGCGTGACTAAGAACTGCTTTCTAAAGGGGGCGGGTGGCAGCCAATCAGGGACACTCTCTCATCACTGATGTTTCTCTCTCTTTCTCTCCCTCTCCCTTCCTCTCTCTGAAATCAATAAAGACATATATTTTTTAAAAATTAAAAATAAATAAAGGGGGTGGGTGGGGACTTTTTCTTTGCCTGGAAGTTGGGGAGACAAATGGCTGTGTGGGGGGCCGTTTCCCAGGCCAGCCTTGCAGCCCTGAGTGTGGAAGGTGTGTGAGACTTTTGTAACTTGCTGTATCTCTGTACTGCTCTGTTTTCTGAAAGGTCAGAGCTGAATTTACTGTTGTGTTAAAATAGTTATATTTCCCGAGGAGACTGGTGGGTTTTTCTTTTCTTCTCCAGGCTTTTTAGTTCTGCTTTTGTTATTTTAAACTGTCAATTTATGTATCTTTTATCCCAAGCATTTTCAAATTGCTTATTTAGGTAACACCTTCATTGAGCTATAATTTACATACTGCACAATTCGCCCATTTAAAACAAACAATAGCCCTTAGTATATTCACAGAGTTGTGTGACCATCACCAATTTTATTTATTTTTTAATCTGTCATTTTTTGTGTTTTTTTTTTAATTTCAGGGAGAAGGAGAGAGAGAAACATCAATCATGAGAGAGTCATTAATCAGCTGCCTCCTGCATGCCCCCCACAACCTGGGCATGTGCCCTGACAGGGAATCAAACCGTGACTTCCTGATTCATAGGTCACACCAGCCAGGCTCACCAGTCAATTTTAGAATAGTTTCATCACTCCAAAAGGAAATCCTGTACCTTTCAGCTATCACTCCCCAGCCCCAGATAGCCACTAGTCGACTTTCTGTCTCTTTGGGTTTGCCTACCCTGGATATTTCATTAAAATGGACTCATACTACATGTCCTTTTGTGTCTGACTCCGTTCACTTAGCATAGTGTCTTCAAGATCATCCATGATATAGCATGTGTCAGTACTTAATTCCTCCTGTCTCTGGAGCTCCTTTCCCCTCTGCAACCTCATTCCAGCCATCTGGTCCCCTGGGTCCTCGAGCTGCTGGTAACTCACAGCTGTCTAATGCTCCACAGCCTACAAAGTGCTCTCTCTGGTCCCCAGGATGCTTCCTTGGTGGACTCTAGGCCTAGAGAGATAAAAGAGGCAGGTGTGATTTTAGTGTTAAAACTGGAAAACACCAAGAACAAGAGTCAGAACTTGAACCCAGGTCTGTGGAACTCCAAATCCAGCCCTTGCTCCTCTCTTGTTTGCAGTTTTATCTCCTGGTACCTTTGCCCAGTCTTTTAGCTGCTTGCATGCAGGGGCCTTGCCCTGTTCTTAGCATATTTGTACCCTGTGTCTAAGGCACATTAGGTACACAGTAAATGCTTGTTAGCCAATTATTTGTTCTCTTTTTTAAATTTTTTATTTATTGATTTTAGAGAAATAAGGAGAGAAACATCAATTTGTCATTTCACTTATTTGTGCATTTATTGGTTGACTACTGTACCCTGACCAGGGACTGAACCCGCAACCTTGGCTTTGGCGTACTGGGACAACACTCTAACCAACCAAGCTACCCCAGCCAGGGCATGTTCTCTTTCTTGAATAAAATCTTAGGTCTTCTAGTTATTTAAGAAGTAAAACATCTAGCATTTTTCTCCCAAATAGGAAATTCTGACCTAAATCAAGTGGTTTATCCTCGTGTCTGGGCCGAGGGGCAGGTGCTCACATACGTGTGATGCTGGTGTATAAGTCAGTGGTTCTAACCTGTCTCTCCTGGTTCTCCCCTCCCCTCCCCAGGGCTGCCCATGTACATAAAGTGCCTGCACTGGGCCCTGGCGGTCATGGCCGTGCTCCTGGCGGTGTCAGCAGTCGCCAATGTGGTCCTGGCCTCGAGAACAGGTATGGTGCCTCTTCCCAGCTACATCCTGACAAGTGATCTGGTATCAGCCTCCACCTGGGGGGTTTTGTGTCTTGCATAAAATGTACAGCCTTCCAGGGTCCCTGCCCACCCTGCTTGCTGCTCAAAGGCTTGCCAGTTCCATTCCCCCCAGATTTGCCCCTCAGTCAAGGTAGTGGCCAGGGTTTGATTTTTTAATGAACATTCATTCAGCTCATTACAGTTTAGTCCTGAGGCTCACCTGTGGTCTCTGTTTGCAGGGGCCGGGTGGCAACAGCCGTGCCCCCAGGACTGGCTGTGGTCCGGAGAGCATTGTTACTACTTCTCTACTGAAGCTCAAGCCTGGGAGGCCAGCCAGGCTTTCTGCTCAGCCCACCAAGCTACCCTCCCCCTGCTGAGCCACACCCAGGTGAGAAGGGAGGGAGGGTGGGCAGTGGAGGGGTGTGCATATTGTTACAGGTTACAGATGACTAGTCCTGGAAGGAACAGCAAAGATCTAGTCCAACTCCACCTTACAGAAAGTCACTGAGGCTTGGAGAAAGAAAGTGACATGCAGGGGGACTAGACTTCAGGTATCCTAGGTCTTCGATTTCCTCTTCATTCTAAGAAGTAGAGGTGGAGCTGAATGGCCAGAGCAGGGCTACTCCCATCCAGCCTGGTGGCCACGCAGTTAACGGAGCTCAGGAACCAGTCTGTGCTGGCAGATCTATGGGGAGACACATGCATACTCTTGGGAGGTTGTATGGAAGATAAATTACTGTTAGTGGGTATGCTATCCAGGTCTTGCTGTAATAATGCAGGGTGACAATTCATGGCTAAAGTCATTGACTTAAAAGACCACAAGCATTTCTTTCTTGTTCTGTGGGAGGGCTGCTGATGGGCTGACCTTGGCTGGGTTTGGCAGACAGCTCAGCCTCAGGGTGCAAGACTGGTTGGGCTGGGCTTGAGCCTATGGGCCGGATTTACTCCGTGAGCCTCTGGTCCTTCTACCTGAGAGAGAGTCTTCATAAGAAAGCTGGCAGAAGGGCAAGAACCAAGCACCATTTAAGGGTTCTGCTGATGTTAGATCTGCTAACGCTCCGTTGGGCAAAGCAAATAACACAGCCAAGCCCAACATCCAGAGGACAGGGTAGTATTCTCCATCTCCAGGGGAGGGGGGCGGGCGCAGAGAGGAGTAGCTATTTGCTGAATAATAATCCAGCCAATGGGCTTGAGAGTGGCTGCAGAAGAGGCTGTCCTCTATGCATGAAGATGCAGCATTCCTTCACCGTGCTTTAACCCGTCTTTATTGAGCACTTTCTCTATGTGTGTTTTTTTTTGATGGGCGGGGTGAGGATTCAGTAATGAGCCCAAATAGCACGGCCGCCACCTTTGATGGCCAGGTGATCAGTGAGCGAGGCAGATCTTAATCAAGAAACTTAAGATCCCGCATGCGTGAAATTTTTTCTTGGATTGCTCCTGCCCAGTCCTGAAATAAAAGAGTTCTGCCCCATACAACGGGGAAGGCAACTTCTGTCCTGCTCTTCTCTCTGGAAAAGGCCCTGGAAGTAGATTTAAAAATCTGCTGGAGAAAATGTTTTACAGGGAACATGGATTATTATATTAGGAGGAATGACATTTATTTTTCAAAAAATATGGGGAAATGAAGAAATTACAGCATAGACTCAAGGAAATCAAACCTGTGGTCCCAATATGGTAAATATACATGCGAAGAAAACACATTACTAGTATTTTAGTGGTGGTTACCACGTGGAGGGGCAAGATTTCGAGTGATCTTTTTTTCTTCTTTAAAGCTTTTTAAAATTCTTCTAAACATGCTGTAAATACTGTGAGCTAGGATTAGGGGGAAATGCTAGAGGAATGGTAGCCCATGGAGGCAAGAGATGGGTATATAACAGTTCCCCACCTGGGCCTGGGCTGGCCCTGAGTTCGTGTCATTGTGGGAAGAGATCAGGCTGGGCAGAGGAAATCTTCCCAGGCCCAGACATCAAAGGACCCAGCCCAGTCGACCTCTGCAAATTGAAGGCCAGCAGAAACTAGGTGGGTCCCTAAAGCATGCTTGAAGCTAGGGAGGGACTTAGCAGCCGAGCATTTTTCCATTTCCTGAGACACACTGAGCACAGCAAAGGTCATCATAAAGCCACTGGCGACCCATAAAGGATCCCTGCCCTCCAGCCCCTCATCAGATAGGTTTAATCTCGAATGACCTTGGACCTTGGCTAAGCAAATGGCCTCCTGGCTGGTGGGTCCTCAAACGGGGAGCCAGGTTTAACTATTCAAATTGCAAATGGAGCTTGAGATGAAGATGAAAAACACACACACAAAACCTAAGCACACAGGATCAATCAATTGAAACACAAGTAAATATTCAGAAAAGATATCACAGAGCCTGGATAAGCTCCTTCCAAAAAAGAGCTGCTAAAAAGCTCCTTGCAGGAGAAACAAGCTGGCGGCGTAGGTAACAGCTGCACCCGCCGCCTCCTGCAACCACATAAAAACCACAACTAAAATACAGAACCACCATCACTCAGAGCCTCCTGAGACCTGGCTGAACAGAAGCCCCCCAGCCAGGGAAGTGAAGAAGCACCAAGACCAGGAGGGGTGGAGCCACGGCCGCCGGCCCATACCCGGTGCCCCAGTTTAAACCCAGAAGGGGATCCCAGTGATGGAGGTTTCCCAGAGGAGTGAGGGGTCCCAGCCCCACAGCAGGCCCCCAGCCCAGGGCTCCAGGGCCAGGAAGAGACGTCCCCACAACTCCGGGCTGTGAAACCAGCGGGGACTGTGGCTGAGGGTCGCAGACGCTTCGGGAGCCCCAGCAGCTCCTCTAAAGGGCCCAGCTCGGACTCACTCGGACGCTCCCTCTGAGCCCAGCGCCGGGAGCAGCCGGAAAGGACCCGGGACACTCGGGGAGGAACTAACCTGCCTGAGATCCGGGCGAGAGTCGGAGGGCGGCTTCCTCCCGGGCAGAAGGGCTGGCGGAGGCCATGGCTCCTGTGGCGAGTCCTCCCCGCACAGCCGGTAGGCAGGCGCCATGTTTGAGTCGCCAGCACGTGACTCACACCGTTGGCCCCGCCCCGTGGTTCCCGGAGGCCCCGCCCCCCACCTGCAGCTCATCCAGGCCATTCCCAGGGGCTTTTCTATGCAAGTGG